GAGAGAGAGAGAGAGAGAGGGCCACAATAGAGAGTATGAACGCCTAATATGACAATAAGATGTGCGAGAAGACGCAAGAAAAAATGAACCTTTTGAAATTTGAAATTGAAACTGTGCGATTGAGGTTGAGTGCACCTGCACGAGAGAAAGTTTGGCCGCGAGAGAAGCTGTTTGCAAAAGGCTTTTTATTCAGCTACAATAGTCAGTCTGCTGGTAATTATGCAGAAGTAACTCACACTTATACATCATAATTTCAAATGCACTTCTGATGGGTTCCTACTTTCCTAAGTACTTTCAAATGTTAATACTGTAACGAGGGGTCCACAACTTACAGTCCACAACTTAGCTTAAATGAATAACTCAGGAACGGCATACAAAACCAAGGGGAAAAATGGTGCTCTGTCTCACGGTAGCACTCGGCTCTACTGCTAGCTGGATGGGCTACTGGAGCTGCTTTATGAGGAGCCTGGCCAGTAAAAATGTTTTATGCTGTTCTGTGATTAGGAAATGAATGTATTCTTTACATTAAAAACGTTTAAGCGTGTATAAACTATGGTTTTGTTCAAATGGTCCATCTTAACCCATTCATTTTGGACTTGCTCTGGAGCGCCCTCTAGTGTTCCAGAAATCCAGAGGACATTACAGAGTGGTAATTCTCTCTACAAGTTCTCTGGGGCTACTCTGTTTACAGCTAGGCTCGCACTGTTTTCCTAAGCACACAGTCCTGCCCATCAAAATTCCCAGCAACAAAAGACTAAACTAACTAACAGAACTAGGTGTGCAACAATACTTTTATCTTTACTTAAATACATTAGTGAGTAAGAAAAATACTCAGCTACATTTTGTTCATGTAGAAAATTTAGGTATTAATTTACAACCCCAAATCCAAAAAGTTCTGATGCTGTGTAAAATAAATGTAAATAAAAACAGAACGCAATGATTTGCAAATCTCATAGACCTATATTTTATTCAAAATAGAACACAGAACACATATCAGATGTTAAAAGTGACATTTTACCATTTCATGAAAAATATTAACTCATTTAGAACTTGATGGCAGCAACACATCTCCAAAAAAGTTGGGACAGGGCCACATCTACCATTGTGTAGCATCCCCTCTTCTTTTAACAGCAGTCTGTAAACGTCTGGGAAGTGAGGAGACCAACTGCTGCAGTTTTGGGAGAGAAATGTTGTCCCATTCTTGCCTGATGTAGGATTCTAGCTGCTCAGCAGTTCTGGGTTTTCTACGCCGGATTTTTGTGTTTCATGATGCGCCAAATGTTTTCTATTGGTCAAATGTCTGGACTGTAGGCAGGCTGGTTCAGCACCTGACTCTTGTTCTGTGAAGCCATGCTGCTGTAATGGATGCAGTGTGTAGTTTAGCATTGTCTTGCTGAAATATACAAGGCCTTCCCGGAAAGACTGCTGTCTGGATGGGAGCATATGTTGTTCTAAAACCTCTATATACTGTTCAGCATTGATGGTGCCTTTCCAGATGTGTAAGCTGCCCATGTCATAGGCACTAATGCAACCCTATACCTATCAGAGATGCAGGCTTTTGAATCGTGCCCTGATAGCAAGCTGGATGGTCCCTCTTCTCTCGAGTCTGCAGGACACAGCGTCCATGGTTTCCAAAAAGAATTTCAAATTTTGATTAATTTGACCACAGAACAGTTTTCCATTTTGCCTCAGTCTATTTTAAATGAGCTTTGGCCCAGAGAAGACGGCGGCATTTCTGGATTGTGTTGACATTTGGCTTCTTCTTTGCATGATACAGCTTTAACTTGCATTTGTGGATTGCATGGTGAACTGTGTTCACAGACAATGATTTCTGGAAGTGTTCCTGAGTCCATGCAGTGATTTCCAGTACAGAATCACGTCTTTTTTCAATGTAGTGCCGCCTGAGGGCCCAAAGATCACAAGCATCCAATATTGACCGCCGGGCTTGTCCCGTGCGTACAGGGATGTCTCCAGATTCTCTGAATCTTTTAATGATATTATGTACTGTAGATGGTGGGATATCCAAAGTCTTTGCAATCTTATGTTGAGGAACATTTTTCTGAAAAAAATTGCTAGATGCAGTTTTTTGCAGATTTTGTGAACCTCTGCCCATTTTTGCTCCTGAGAGACTCTGACTCTCTAAAATGCTCTTTTTATAAACAGTCATGTGAGTTAGTAGTAAATTGCTCCCACAAGTTCCCACATCTTTTCCATGGCAAAATTCTTTTCTCTGAATTCATCTGTCCACATTATTTAATTCTAACAATTAGACACAAGAAGACAGAAACAAACTGGGAGTTCCACAGAATCTGTCTGTATTCCACAGGTTTCTTTCCATTTTTTTCACACTTGCATAAGAATCATGTGGATTATATTAGGCTGTTGTTCTTATTCACATCAGTCAGGCACACACAAAACACAGTTTAGGCTACAGTAAACTAGAATATTGATACGCCCTGTACAGTGGTGTTTATTTCGTCTTTCAAGAAAGTCTTTAAAGTGCACAAGAAAGTGTGGAAAACAAACAGAATAACTATAGGGTGAGAATGAGAGAGAGGCGTGATCGAGAGAGAGAGAAAGAGGTGTTAATGAAAGTGAGAAAGATCATGTGGTGTGAGAAACAGAGAGGCGCAAAGTACACCACCTTGTATTTTCACTCATTGTCCATTTTATCAGGTCCCACTTACTATATAGGTGCACTTTGTAGTTCTACAATTACATATTGTAGTCCATCGGTTTCTCTGCACACTTTGTTAGCCCCCTTTCACCCGTTCTTTAATGGTCAGGACCCCCACAGGAGCACCACAGAGCAGGTATTATCTGGGTGGTGGATCATTCTCAGCACTGCAGTGACAGTGACGTGGCAATGCTGTGTTTTAGCGCAATATTTTATATTTCAAACATTGTCTAAATTATAGATTTTTGTTTGTGTGTTATCAGGGCATTAGAAAGGAGATGTGGTTGATGTGGAGAGAGACAGAAAAGGGGTAGGTGTCATGCAGTCCTTCAGCATGGACTCCAATTCCCAGAACTCCTTGGATGATCATGTGACCCTGTCTTCATCACACACCTGTCAGAGATCAGCCGGCCTGAATACTGATTATTTGCACTAGTTTGTGTTGTCATGTGATCTGGTTAGTTAGTCTTTTAATCCCAGGCTTCAGTGTAGACACTGTAGCAGAGGGACGAGAAACAAGGATATGGGGCTCACCTCATGCACCACCATTCAGAGACAGCATTAACCGATGATGGCAAATGAGGCTGAAACTGGCTTCCTATTTATTCGCCAACTTCTTGTTCGAAATTTCCCGTACGTTTCTAAGGCGGAACAGGAAAATGCCGAATAATGGTGGAACAAGAAGCTGACGAATAAGAAGCTGACTTTTGTTTCGCTGACGACAAAGATAATGTTACATTAGCTCCACCAAAAAAGTCAGCTTGACAAAGCTTCCGTCTAATTCTGAGGGAAATAGCATGATCCATCACCTACTTCATGTGCGAAAGACCTGCGTCCATACAACTCTGTGAAACACGAAGGCTTTTGTCACATGCTCAAGTGTAACGGGACAGAATAATTCAGACGAGTGCGGATTGTAAAAACAACAAAGGCCTTACTTAAATCAGGGATTTCCAAAGTTGTGGTCAAAAAACAGGCCAAGGTCAGTTCTATCACAGTCCAACACCAGACAAACACAGTCATTACCAAACCAAGGGGAGACAGCAAAAGGCAGAGTCAAATCAAACAGGCAAAAGTTTAGTATACAAGAAAAACAAACTCGAATACACAATGAACGCCCCATAGCTCTGAAAACAGCGGCAATACCTCACGAAGTCCCTACTCTAGGGATCTATAAGGCTAACTAAACTGGTCATATGGCAGAAAAAACAGGTACAAATAATCAGTATCAGGTGAGGCAGATCAATGACAAGTTGTATGTGGTGGAGACTGAGACACATGATTACCCAAAGGATTCAGGGAAATGGAATCCATGCTGGAAGGCTGCATGACACAACACTGGAAGCCAGGTGTGACTAGGATTTTACCGACACAGTCGTCCCAAAGCTCAACAGAGACGTGAATCTTAAGAAATCTTTGAGTACAGCAGAAAGGACTGCATTAAGTTGCGATGCATGGACATCAAGGGCAGTGACTACAATACTATGTGACTACAACAGCACATTATCTCACAAAGGACTGGCGACTGCTGCTTCATGTTCGAATCGCTGATTCCTATATTACTCGGCTACGTTGTAAATGAGGGTCTCCCTCAATGTATTCAGAGTTTAAATAAAGGTTGATTGATTGATACGCAAAGTTGCAATGGGGGAAGCATTGCAGACCTCCAGCAAAGTGCAGCACAACCTGGTGGTTGTATATACAGTCGAAAAAATGTAATGAAATTTATTTAAAATCGCAATAATATTGTATCGTGACTTAAGTATCAGGATAGTATGGAATTGTGGGACCACTGACAATTCCCACCACTAGTAATTTGCAGAAGATTTTAATAACAGTGTTCTGGGGAGACATTTCTGTTTTCATGTTTCTGTTACAAACAATGTTTTTACTCCTCTTTCCCTTTTTTTTTTAGGACATGCAAATCAGTGTTGTAGAATCACTGCACATTTTATTGAAAAAAAGTGTGTATAAATAAATAAATACGTTTATTTATTTACTTTGTATATCACAGAAATGTCATTAGGTAAAGTGAAAAGACTGAATTGGTGAATATTATTATGTATCTTTCTAGTTTCCAGCATCAACACGGCAGAGAGCAGATGCTACAGGCTGGCTGCAGTGTGTCTGGGGCTGCTGTGTGTCCTCCTGCTGGCTGCCATCACAGTGCTGTGGATCAAGTTCATCAACCTGACTATAGAGAGAGACCAGTTACAGACCTGCTACGCCAACCTGACTATAGAGAGAGACCAGTTACAGACCCATTACACCAACCTGACTATAGAGAGAGACCAGTTACAGACCAGCTACACCAACTTGACTACAGAGAGAGACCAGTTACAGACCAATAATGACAACATGAAGAATGAGAGGGGCCAATTACAGAAAGAAAAGGAAACGCTCCAGAAGAAACTGTCAGAATTAGGTGAGTAAATAAAGCTCAAGTTAGTGATCATAGGAAACTACTCTGGAATTACTCTGCTAAGAACAAACAGCATGGTTCACATCTATATTGTACAGTTTAATGTTTCATGTCTGTCATGCATTCCTCCTATAGTCTATAACTATCCACCACTCCAGCCCTCTGATTACTGTCAAAGGCGATTTAACCTGCTTGCGGCCCCTGAAACAACTCATGACTGGGGAGCCCTTAGATCGTGATAAAATCCATAAAATCAGTACTATGCAGTAAGACATAACAGAGCTCCTCCCGACTGATATGAACACATTACACAGGAATCACAAGGCTAACAAAGCCCAAAAACTGAAAGCTGTTTTATATAAGGACACACACAACACCAGGTGTGATCAGAGACTTTCAGCACTGCTCAGTGTCTCTGAGTGCCACACATCTATTACTCAACTCTCCGTTACTGCATTCTAGACCTGGGCAAAATCTAAACATAATGAGTATGATATTAAAAAAAAAAAATCAGGATGAGTGATAAATTGCTCTTATGAATGAAGATCACAAATAATATAATATTAAGTAAATCAATCTTTCTGAAAACTATTTAATTTCTTATGTTAAAGTCTGCAAATAAATGCATTTGTGGCTGTTTCTGCTCTTTTTAAGGAGACACACAAAAGTGACTTGTGTGCTAACAGCACCCCCTGCTGGAGAAACTGTAGACTGCTAAACTACTCGTAAAAAAGATGGTTCTTTAAGGGGATCTCTAGTATCTTAAGGATCTTTCTGTTTAGAACCATGAGTTCTATATCAAACCTTTTTATGCTTAAATGGGTCTTTGCGCCTCCTCAGATTGATGGAGATTGTGTTCTATATGGTCCTATATAGAACTTTTTTGAAAGTGGCTCTACATAGCACCAAAAATGGTTCTTCTATTGTTACAAGCTTTACATCATAACAATACAAGAACTTTTTGGTGCTATATAGAACTATTTTCAAAAGGCTTCTAAATAGAACCACATACAAAACATTCTCCATCAATCTGAAGCACATTTTAACCATGCAAAGTACATTTAAGCATGAAATTCTAAATAGAACAATCCCTTTACTAAAGAATCCTTGAAGAACGATCTCTTTTAAAAATGTACAACAAAAATATTGTCTTTTTTCCATCCAAAATGTCAGAGTTTAATATTTAATACTGATAATAATAAAACCTTAGTAAATCTGAAACAGGACATTTTTTGGTACTATTTTGCCTTACATGGCCCTGCATGTCCCTCTCTGCCATTAATGTACTATTAAAATATGTCTTGGATCAAAATCTAATCTCAAATCTATGGTAAAACGGCGTCTCAGACATCAAGCAGGTTTAACAGGCAGTTAACACTTCCTATCACCACCACTGTGAACAATTCTGACTCAGTAAGATAAATAAAGACAGAATATTAACATCTTAATGACTGAATCATGCAGAAGATCTGAAGAATCATTGGAGTTCCCCTTTAAATTAACTGACCTATTAATGCATGAATTTCTCTATGAAAAGAGCAAGAAAGGAACACTTCCAGATACAGTTTCTACTACACCTCTACTGAGAAGAAGAGCTGGAGTGAGAGCAGACAGTACTGCACAGAGAGAGGAGCAGACCTGGTGATCATAAACAGCAGAGAAGAACAGGTGAGAGGGAGAGAGAGAGAGGAGAGAGAGAGAGAGAGAGAGAGAGAGAGAGAGAGAGAGATATTGCACACCACTCTTCTTTAGCCGTTATCTAATCACATTATTCTATACTGTACCATGTCAGGAGTTCATCAGTACAGTATTTGACAGCACTGACGTTTGGATTGGTCTGACGGACACAGAGAAAGAGGGGGTCTGGAAATGGGTGGACAACTCAGCACTGACCACTCAGTAAGAGACCACTGAACTGAGCTCTGCTTATGATGCAGTTATTCACTCTCTCTAACAAACTCTAGAGGTGTAATAGTGAAGATAATCTGATTCTCTGTGTTTCAGGTTCTGGTGGAAGGGGGAACCCAATGATTATAATAGAAATGAGGACTGTGCTGTAACTGCCTATAGAGGTGCTGGATCTGAACGTGTATCAACCTGGGCTGATTTTCCCTGTGATTATCCTGCAGTTGGAATCTGTGAGAAAAGATTTTAATGTAGTCTACATGAGAGTGAACAGCAACTGATTTTGTCTATACATTTAACATTATACATTATATATTTTACACTGTAGACTTACTCGTACAGCATTTATCTGGTCAATATTTTTGAAAGAATATGGATTCAAGTACAGCAAAAATAGTAAACTTTTTAATTCTATCTGAACCCTTGTACTCAAGAAATTGAGCCTTTGCCAAGTCCTGAGCCATCAGTTACTGCCTGACAAGGTTTCGAGCTGGTATTCCGTCTTTAGGTTATAGGCCTTCTTAGGATTAACTGATGTAATCAGAATATATCATAAAATAACACATTAAACAGTATAATACTGAATAATTCAACAGTTTTTGAAAACTTTCACCTCATTTTGTGACTCAAACATGTGTTGGAAACAACCTCTGGTGTGACTATTCTTGATGATTCCTACTCAAAACTTTTATACTTGTTTACTGTTTACCCTCAGGAGTGTTGTCTTTCTCCTCTCCTTTATATTATGTATACCAATGAGTGTTAGAACAGTCATGAAAATAGTCATATTATAAAGTTAGTGGACGATACAGTGATTGTTAATCATTTATGCTAATTGAGCTGTAGATCAGGACGTTGTGTCATGGTGTAATTAGTCATTTCTTCATCTGAATGTTATGAAAACAGAGGATATGGTTGTTGATTTTAGGAAGTCTTTACAGCCCCATATCTACAATCATGATTCTCATGTTAGCAGTGTTTATCTACTACTGTCGTACTGAAGAGCTCAGAGACTTTAAACCTGCCACTGTCATAAGACGCCACCTTTGCCACAAGACAGTTCATGAAGATTCTGCCCTGCTAGATCTGCCCTGGTCAACTGTAAGTGCTATTATTGTCAAATGGAAGCTCCATATTAATGCCCATGGCTTTGGAATGGAGTGTCCACCAACCTCATAAGCTCTTTCACAGAGTGGTGAATTCCTCCCCATCTTTACTTCTGAAAGACTCTGCCTCTCTGGGATGCTCTGTTTATACACAATCATGTTACTGACCTGTGGCCAATTAACATAATTAGCAGTGAGATGTTCTACCAGGTGTTTTTTAGCAACTTTTCCAGTCTTTTGTTGCCTCGTTTCAACTTTTTTCAAATGTGTTGCTGGCATTAAATTTAAAATAAGCACATATTAAAAAAAACAAATAAAATGTATGTTTCAACGTTTGATATGTTGTTTTTGTCCTATTTTCAATTAAATATAGGGTTTAAATGATTTGCACATCATTGCATTCTGTTATATATTTTGCACAGCGTCCCGACTTTTTCAGAAATGAGGTTGTAGTATTACATTTACAGCACTAAGATATTGAATTAAAACTCAGTGTAACTGCCTACAAATTCAGGGTGCTTTATTGCTTTTAATGTAAATTAGGCATAATGTACAGAATTTACAGAAATGCCATTCCCTCTTTATTGCCTTGTGCTGGCTCCCTAAAGCAGCTTGCATTTTACAAAAGCATCATTTTCAAGGCCGACTGACTTCCTTACTGCCCTCTAGTGCCACCCCAGTGAAACTCAACCCTTTAATATGTTTGACTAATGTCTGCTTTCTAATTAATTTGCTTGATAATTGACTCAAATTGTTGCTATTGAGCAATCTAAGAAACACTGGGTAAAAAGTCCCAAAACAACTTTAGAGGAAATAGATAAAGTACAAAACCAACTCAATGGCTCAACAATGGATACACAATATGTGTACAATATAGTGCTAAAGGAACACAACACTTAAACTGCCTTTATAGCATGCAGTATTAAGTACAGTGTTTTCACAGATTTGACAGAGACAACATGTTCACTTTTGACATTCTCCTGAGGTGAGTAGTTACAAACTGTTAAATATACTTAGTTACCTGTACAAAGAACATGGATATGATAGATTTATATTTTTGAAGTATTTTCAAATACTACTTTAATGTATGCTCACATATACGTCTGAGGAAAGAAGTCTATTTCTTACTCAGTCTCATTTACTCATTTATACTTCAAGCTAATGCCAAACATATGCTGGTTCATGCTGAATGTATTAGTGCTGTTATGTTCACTGGAGTTCTGTAGAGAAGTTTTCTGACTACTTCTTTAAAATCCTAGTCTTTATTTCATTTCTGCTTAGCCTTACATCAGCTCTACTTCTACAGAGTCATTATTTCACAGTGTTAATTGAATATGGTTGCTCTCCCACCTCTGTCTTCTACTAATTCGAGAGACGAGTGTTTACGACGATCTGAAGAACTGCTTAGTGAAGCTGAAGAGAGAAGAACTAGAGGGCGCTGTGGTGGTTGTCTATGAGTGCATTGATACTATAAGAGGCAATGACTCCAGCGCAGAAAATAAGTACGCCAGCACAAGAAAGAACTTCCAAATTCACAACCAGGTATCATTAGTGTACTGTAGTGATCTCTGTGTACTCTAAAAGTGTCATTCTTAATATCCATCTATTAGGTCTTCCTAGAGAAACCATAAAATTAATTATTTTGCTTTCCTTTTTTTCTACAAATTGAAAATTGCAAAGGTCCTTACATTTTTTTTTATACCAAAACACAAGAGAATCAGTGATTAACTGATATTTGGGTTTAAAGTCCCCTTATTCACCCTAATTAGGCAATTTCTACTCCTAAAACCTAGAACACTAGTTCATACACCCACCTTATTAAGTAGCTTTGTTGGTCAAGCCTAGAAGGAGGATTACACTAACACTTAGCATGTTTGACCAGCAGGGGGCAGCTGTTTTTTTCTCTTATTCTTCAGGGACCTGTTGACCAACTTCGAGCTCAAGAGAAAGCAGTTCAATTCAAAAGGCTGCCAATCCAAAAGGCAATTAAAAGAAATTCACACAGTTAAGAGTGAATCAGTTTTTTCAGTGGTAGGCCTTCATTTTCTATAAATCTTTATTAAAACATTCTCAACTAGCCATTACATACAGTTATAATCAACATACATTCTTTACTAGCCTTCATCTCAATTAGCAATCATTTGATTTAAGTTAAATCGCTCTATAAAAGCTTATCAAACAGTCTCTAGTCACACTAAATTTCTTAACTGACTCATAAATGGAAGCTCCTGATCAGCTTTCCCCCGCAAGACACCAGTGTTGCTCTTCCTTTTAAGAGATGAGCTGAGGGTTGTCCCCAGGAACTTAAAGGAGGCAACCCTCCCCACCATTGCTGGTCAAAGGCAGCATTTCCCCTCTCTGTCTCCTAAAGTCAACCACCAACTCCTTTGTCTTTCCAATATTCCAAGTTATTCACCCTGCTCCACTCCACTAAAGCTCTGTCCTTGTATGCTGTTTCATCATCATTCCAACAATGTTGTATGATCTGCAAACTTACACAATTTGACAGAATCAGAGTTTAATATACAGTCACTGGTATACAGAGAATATAACAGAGGAGACAGAACGCAGCCCTGGGGGGCAGCAGTATTGAGAATTCAAGGAGTGGAAACCACATTGTTCATTTTAACAACCTCCTTTCTATTAGACAGAAAATCCAGAATCCAATAGCATGCATATATGCCTGCTGCCTGCAAGTGTTGCAAAATAGAACGTAAGTAAAGTGACACTGCATCCTCAGCAAAGCTACTCAACCTATATGCAAACTGGTAAGTATCCATCACAACACCTGAAAGATGACTACAAACCAGTTTTTCAAAAACCTTTATAATAACAGAAGTAAGAGGTCTGTAGTCATTAAAAGAGGTTACACTGGACATTTTAGGAACAGGGACAATGGTTGTTTTTCTAAAACATAATGGGACACCACATGTTTTCAGTGACCAATTGAAAATATATGTTAAAATATTAGAAAGTGAGTCAGCACAGAGCTTTAGGGTGGCTGGAAAGACTTTCAGTTCAGGTTCAAGAGCAAGGATTCTTCATATTCTTCTTAACATCATATTCCTTAATAGTAAAAGGTAGTTCAGACATGGCCACTGATGGAGCAGTAATTTGCTGAGGTGCTTGTAAATCAAATCTACAATAAAAATCATTAAACTGATCAGGTAGCAAAGAAGCAAAAACATGAACATCATTTTTAATCTTATAATCAATCTCTTGAAAACACCCCCATACACCCCTCTACCTTCTATTTGCAGCGCATCCTCTAATTTAACCTTATGCTTTGTCTTTACCTGCCTCACTGCCCCTCCAAACTCATACTTAGCTTTCTTATATAGCTCTTTATCATCACTGTTAAAAGCAGAATTCCTTGCCTTATATAAAATCTTAACCTCCTTAAACTAAGCCCTATTATTACTAAAAATGGTTATTGTCTTGGTTAGGATGCAACTAAGTGAAAAATGTATGTGATGTAACTGTGTCTGCAAGCTCATCTAAATCAGCATTACATGTATCTCTAAAGACATTCCAATTTGTTGTACTTAAGCGGTCACTGAGCATTTCTGTTGCTTGCGGGATCCACTCATTCACTTGCCTGGTGCCCTTTCCGATGGTCTTCAATCTCTGGCGCTATCGTGGGAAAAGAAAGATCATATTATGATCAGACTGTCCCAGGACAGCACGAGCTACTGTGTGAGCTACTTCACCAATGCATATGCATGGTTATTAGTAGTTCTAAGTATACAAATATTTTCACGCACAAGAATAAAATCTTTCATGCTTAAAACATGTATGTGAGGTTTACGCATGAAAATGTGCATATGCATGATTGATTAACGATTCCTCAGGTTTCTCTTGCGTCGTGCTGATGGAAGGATCAGAATTTGGAGCAAGCAACATCTGGTTTGGTGAACAATACATATTTGTGGTGCAGTATGATGGTTTCCTGGCCCACATCAGAACTTCTGATATCCACTTAATAATTTAAGAACAGCACAGTGTATTTTAATGTAATTGCTGACTAACTTCATCACCTTCATAACTACAGCTTATCTACACTTGGATGGACACTTCCAGCATGATAATGGACCAGGCTACAAAGCGCCTATTCTCACTGCATGTAAACATGACAGACTGCTTCAATCGCTTGTACTAAGACAGTCTTAACCCTTCAGTCGTAGCTAAGACCAATTTTCAGAAAGGACTTTATGGCCAACCAAACCAATTTATGTTATGCCCAGGCGCAGGTCAGTCTTAGTCGTGTGCGTTCATATGAAAACATTTGTAACAATGATGCCTACTAAGCAACCTGGGTTACTAAGTGTACCTACTACCGACAACAGGCCAATTGATAGTGTTTTGATGAAGTCACGCTATAGTGAGAACTGGAAAGTTCTTAACTCTGGAAATATGTAGGTTATATGGATTCAGTCCAACAGTCAAGCTAATGATCTTATCGTAGGGTTTTCTAGAGGCTGTATCTAGGTGTCGACATATCTTTATCTTTTTTATGGTCATTCTGGTTTATTTTACACCTGTAGGGTTGTAGCTGCAGCAACAGTGATGAGATAAGCGATATCAGAGCATATTCAGTTATGGCTTGGCTTCCAAAATGGTGGGGGGGGGGCTTCTTAATGATGTAAATGAATACTATGAAATGCTGTTGTAGCTTGCATGTTGACCCCCTCGCTCTCAATTCAACTCTCAAACTCTCCACAGCTTTTCACATTTCTGTGCATGGGGTGAAGCAGACTTTAGGAAAAACGGTTCAGCAGTTTGATTCTGTTGTAAATACTTGCAACATTAACAGCTGTGCTTCTACCTGTAGTGTGTCCAAGGTGAGGACTTAATCACACTAGACGGCCACTAAACACACAGAAGAAAACAAGATAAAGGCATTTCTGACCCTAAATAAACAAAACAACAACAACTACCCACTCTGGTTTTAAAAATGTGGGAATACTTGTGGACATTCGAAAGCTCTTTCTAAACTCAAGCATTCTGAATGAAGGAATATGTCTGCTTTGTTTGCATGTTTTGTAGTGTTGATACACCAGAGGTGGTAAGTAACAAAGTAGAAATACATTGTTACTGTATTTAAGTAAGTGTTTTAGGTTTCTGTACTTTGAGTATTTGTCACTTAATACCTTTTACTTTTACTCACTACATTTTGAGTGAACCCATGATTGACTAGTAGACCAGCAGTGAACACGTGGGAAGAGGAAGAAAAATAACAGATGAGACAACAAAATCCACAGAGAGTGACAGCATTGAGTCAGTCCTTAATACGGAAGATGTGTCTAAAAAACCTACATTCATGGCCTTACTTGGTGCCAGAGTGGGAAATCAGGAGATTCGGGAGAATTCCCAGTAGGCCTGTAGTGTTTCAGGCCAGATAAAATGAAGAAACTCACAGTACAAGAACGCTCAGACTGTAAATGTTATGTTACATTAAGTGTATATCTGTAGTAATTTATGAGTTAAACCAGCGGCCCCATCCCAGTGATACAGCCCCGGTTTACTGACTGTAATTGAGACTCGTACAGTGGATAGAGAGTGGATTTCCCATTCCACCTTAAAGGATGTAGCGGTTACATTCAGACGCCTATATGGACGTTACTTCAGTGCATTAAGTCATTTGAGGCAAGACAAATATAGACCATAAACATGTTTTATGCCCGCTGTGGCAAAATGCTTTAGCTTAGGATGATTAGGTTTAGGTATTTAAGATTGCTGTGTTGATTTTCTTCGTCTTCACACATCAGCTGTTTGATTTAACTTTCATGCAGGTGCTGCAGTATTGGTTGTTTGTGTGAATCCAGCTTTCTGATTTGTTGCTATTGTTGTGTTCTAACGCACACTTATTAATATAGATGAACCTGAACACAAAGTGGTACACAGACCAACACAGAGGCACTGGTCAGTATTTTGGGCTCCCTGAGGCCCTCTCAATTATCCTCCTCCTAACCCCGTTTATGACACACCTATGCAGTTCTGTCTGTTATGAATCCCAGTACTAGACGTGACTGTATATGAGCAATGACTTTTCTTCAAGACCAAAGAAATTGCAAACTGTAACAGGATAGACACAATGACAACTTTATTTTAGCCTTTCACACAGAGCACAAACCACAGGAACTGATCTCTCCAGTTACAAACCCAAAAAAAAAAGGAGACAGAAAGGGGTGACAGACATGGGTGTCAAAGCTGAAAAAAAATAAGAAATGCCTAAACTTCCTGTCCTGAGAGTAAGTATGTATTTAGCAGTATCACCCACACAGAGTCACTTTGAGAGCTGAAGACTGTAGTGGAGACTTCAAATCTGCAGATACAGCAGAAATCAAAGTAAAAATCCACTTAATGGCATCAACAAGTTTACAGAAGATCAAAGAACCGAAGATTGATGAGGATATATGTGCAAATTCAGGAATTACAACAGACAACACATCAACTCATTCAGACGACAGCAACGATTATGAGGACATTTAGAGAGAAAAGTAAAGGAACGACCTCAGGTACACACACACACACACACAATTTTATAATATATATATGCACACTCACCTACTATCTTCATGATAGCTTTAAAAAGTTTACACAGCTTATGGTCTTCAGTCTCTTGTACTGTGTGACAACACACTGATCTAGTTCTTACAGGTTCTAACAGGGATAAATCAGGGAGAACAGACACTCTACATTGCTCTACTTGTTGCTCATTAATGAGTATATATTACAAAATGATAATGTATTTTTATTCAGAGTGATGATTATAAACATGCCATGAAGGGGCATCACCTGGCCTTCTGGGGTTGTAGCCCCAATTATGTGTTAAGCAGCCTCAAACATTATAAGGTTACAAAGGTGACCATTCACCCACTCCTTAAACTCAGAGAGCGAGAGAAAGAGAGAAAAGAAGA